AAACCAAAGATTTGACAAAAAACACCCAACTGGAAAAGCAAAATGAAAAAAGAATCCGAAAGTGTGAAGATAGTGTAAGGAGCCTCTGGGACAGCTTCAAGCGTACTAACATCAGAATAATAGGGGTGCCAGAAGATGAGAGACAGCAAGAAAACCTATTTCAAGAAATAATGGCAGAAAACTTCCCCCACCTGGTGAAAGAAATGGACTTACAGGTCCAAGAAGCAAAGAGAACCCCAAACAAAAGGAATCCAAAGAGGACCACACCAAGACACATCATAATTAAAATGCCAAGAGCAAAAGACAAAGAGAGAATCTTAAAAGCAGCAAGAGAAAGAGGCTCAATTACCTACAAGGGAATACCCATACGACTGTCAGCTGATTTCTCAACAGAAACTTTGCAGGCTAGAAGGGAATGGCAAGAAATATTCAAAGTGCTGAATACCAAGAACCTACAACCAAGATTACTTTATCCAGCAAAGCTATCATTCAGAATTGAAGGTCAGATAAAGAGCTTCACAGACAAGGAAAAGCTAAAGGAGTTCATCACCACTAAACCAGTATTATACGAAATACTGAAAGGTATCCTTTAAGAAGAGGAAGAAGAAAAAGGTAAAGATACAAATTGTGAACAACAAACATGCATCTATCAACAAGTGAATCTAAGAATCAAGTGAATAGCCGAAACCGGTTTGGCTCAGTGGATAGAGCGTCGGCCTGCGGACTGAAGGGTCCCAGGTTCGATTCCGGTCAAGGGCATGTACCTGGGGTTGCGGGCACATCTCCAGTGGGAGATGTGCAGGAGGCAGCTGGTCGATGTTTCTTTCTCATCGATGTTTCTAACTCTCTATCTCTCTCCCTTCCTCTCTGTAAAAAATCAATAAAATATATTTAAAAAAAAATAAAAAAATAATAAAGTGTCCTTTTAAAAAAAAAAAAGAATCAAATGAATAAATAATCTGATGTACAGAATGAACTGGTGATTATAATGAATCAGGGACATAGAAAGGGAATGGACTGACTATTCTTGGGGGGGGAAGGGGAATGGGAGATTCGGGAAGAGACTGGACAAAAATCGTGCACCTATGGATGAGGACAGTGGGTGGGGAGTGAGGGCGGAGGGTGGGGCGGGAACTGGAAGGAGGGGAGTTATGGGGGGGGGGGAAGAGGAACAAATGTAATCTGAACAATAAAAATTTAATAAAAAAAAAAGAGTAGATTATGAAGGATCCTTTCCTAACCATTATAATATTCAAGATTAGTCATTTAGAATGTCTTTAAGTTCCCTCAATTGGTAGCCCAATAGTTGGTATACTGCCTTAAATAGTTCAAAAGGCAAGTCTCTGCCATTGGCAGTGACTGGAAACTGTAGGAATTTCTGCCAAAGTTCTTGTGATCTAATCCTCTCTTGGAAGTACAAAGCTAAAGCATGCATTGAAATGCCTGAGTCAGCCACTCAAGGGATATACTGGCTGCAACCCTGCTCATTTTTCTGGGATGAAAAAATCTGCTTGGTGACCTGAGACAGCTAGCTAGCTTTAATTCTCTCCACCTAGAAATACATGTATTATAACTGCATAGAAAGCGTGCGCGCGCGCGCGCGCACACATACACACACACACACACACACACACACACACATAAACTATATCTAAATGTTGTCATAATTGAAAAAGGACCCTTTATGATCTCTTATATTTTCTAGAGTTATGCTTAATTTCAGCAGATCTTGTTTAGTAACTTATAAGAAAATAACTTCACCTCTTCTATTGATTGCTGTTTAAAAATTTTAACTTCTCCAACTTTCTAATTTAGGGAAGGAAAAGAAAGCCACCTACTATTTATTGAATGTTTAGTATATGCCTGGAATTGTTACTTGTGTAGTGTTAACTCCTATTTTATAGATGAGGACCTCAGAACAGGCAAGTGAGGTCACATAGCTCTGAGGTGGCAAGCACAGTTAGTATTTGAACCAGGTCTGTATGATCCCAAACGCCTCTCTACCACCACATCATGCTATAAAATGAACTGTAGAATGTTAATATAAAAAACTATTATCAATATTATTAAGTAAAAAATACAAGGTGCAGAACAGTAAGCATAATATACTGCCGCTATGTGAAATGTGTGTGTATACATATATTCACGTGTGTGTGTCTGTTGTACATATGCTTAGAACGTCTAGTACAGTGGGGCCTTGACTTACGAGTGTCCCGACTAACGAGTTTTTTGAGATACCAGCTGTCTCTCGGCCGATTTTTTGCATTGAGTTGATAGAGGAATTTGAGTTAACGAGCTCGGCCTCGGAACAAATTAAACTGGTAAGTCAAAGCCCCACTGTATATCTCTGGAATACCATACAATGGTTGGACCCTGGGATGGGGAACTGTGTTGCTAGAAAGCTAGACTTTTCATTATAAAATCTTTTATACAGTTGAATTTTGTCGTATATGCATACATTTGATTATTTTTTAGATTTAGTAGTTTATTAGTAAAGTTTCATAAGCATAAAGCTTCTAATGCTATAAAATGTTAATGCTAGCTCTTATGATACTGATAAGCATTGATAATGATCATATCTTTCTAGTTTTCAATTCCCATCATCTACTCTAATGACCTACCACTTTGGAATTTGAAAGGGAGATAAAATATTGATATAACATATAATTGATGTTAGCAGAAGTAATGGTGACTGATTCTTCTACGTTCAACTATTTATTTACATTTTTAGTGCTATTTAAGATTTCAATAATCTTTGGTTTATCTATTTTTTGAAACAAGAACATCATGCCTCAAATACAGTAGTTGCCAGTCATGACTGAGATAAAAGAAATCTATATATATAAAAGGCTAATATGCAAAGTGTCCGACTGTCCAACCAGTCTCTATGACTGGCACTGACCACCAAGGGGCAGACACTCAACACAGGAGCTGCTGTGATGCACACTGGCCACTTACAGATAAATGGCACTGCGGACCTGGCACCCACAAAACAATACTCGGCTTCCCCCAAGTGGGACACAGGCCCCCCCACCACCAAATTGCAGCCCACACTGCCGAGACCCCATGGTGCAAAATGCAGCCCACAGCCCAGCCCAGCCCGGAAATGGTCTTGTGGGCGCCGGGTAATGACGTCACGTAACAAAGCCTGGCTTCCTCTCCCTAGCGACTAGCCTCTTTGGAGTTTCTTCAGCCCAGGAACATGACTGCTTTATAACCAGGTGCATACATTTCACACTTTAACCAAATGTCTGCGAAGCATTTTCCCTGTGCCTCATCTCATTTGATCCTCACAGAAGTCCTGGGGTAGGTAGATAGGAGACTCAGTGGAATCCCGTTTTCTTTTCATTAGCCGGAAAACAGAGATTTAGAAAGCTTAGAAACTTGACCCAACTGAAAAGACGTAAGAAATGGTGAACCTTGAAAATGACTTCAGGTTTTCTCACTGTGCAGAATATAGTCAAACATTGCTGCAGTTAAATATTTTACCCTTTGTTCTCCCTGTGTGATCTACAATAATAATCTGCTTCGTGTTGATATTTACTGTTGCTGACAATTACCTGAAAGAGAAGTTGGTGCTTCACTGGGCTGGGAAAAGTTTAGCTAAATCAAAAAGCAGGTCTAATTAACCAAGTTTATCTATATATATAAAGCTCTCGCTGGCGCCAATCTCATGCATGTGTTTCAATCTGTCATTGTCGATCGTGAATTTAATTGACACTTCTATTATAGAAAAAGGGTGAATAGCGATATTAAAATATTTCTTCTAATTAATTTCCTTTCAGTGTGCACAAATTCGTGCCCTGGGCCTCTAGTATTTTATATGGTTCCTAAAATTGAACTTAAAAGAAAAAAGTTTCCCATCTATTAAAAGCTATATTTTAATTTGGGGCTACCATTAATGGAAATACCTTACCTTGAATATGCTTATTTTTGTACTTGTTTTCAAAATTGTAATGATCTGTTTACACAGTTGTCTTCCTTAGTAGACTGGTCATTCCTTGAGGGCAGGATCCATGCCTCATTTGTTCTCGTTTCTCAGGGCCTCATCTAATGCTTGACACTTAGTAGGTAGCTAAGAATGTTGATTGAATTGAATCAAATTGAACTAGAGATACTTAGCTTAGTCCAGGGAAGAGAGCGCGAAATCATCTCATTCTTCAGATAGTTGAAGGTGTTCTCTCATGTGGAAGAGATTGCTCTATATAGCTTCAGTAAACAGAAAAAACAATGAGTGAAAGTTTCAAGATGTTTCTAAATGTTGACTCATCTAAATGTAGGTGGCGCTGTCTCAGGAGGTACTGAATCTATCACCAGGAGATTCATTCATGGCTAGTCAACTCCCAAGACAATTTAAGAATTTAATTATTCATTTGTTTCTTCACTCATTTGTTGAAACATTTGCTGAACAGACACTGTTCTAGACGTTGGATGCCAAGATTGAATAAATCATAATCCCTGCTTGGGGAATTCCAACAGCCAGCAGGGGAACAGAAGTTTAAGCAAAGGATTACAACCCAGGGTTCTAAGAGGATGTTGTTGTAGAGGTGTAATGATCATACCCTGGAGAGAGGAGACAGAAAATGCTGCTGAGGAGGTGACTCTTGAGTAGAGTTGATCAGGCAGACCAAGGGGGGAAGGAGTGTCCTAAGAAGACAGAACAATACATACATAAGCTCAGAAGTTAAAGTTTTTAAAATAGAGTAATGCTATTTCATTTGTATTACATGCCCTTAAAGGACCCTCCAATACTAAGATTCTGTGTGCTGGCTCTTTAAATTAGTGTTTTGGGCTTTGTTTTTTACTTTATGCTAGATATTGCATGAATGTTGCATTTTAGTTGTCATTTTTTATAGGAAGCAAAAATACTAACCTCCTTCTTTGATTTTTGTTCACAGTCAAATTCATCCGAGAAGTAACGCCATATATCAAGAAGCCATCATTAGTATCAGATCTGCCATGGGAAGGTGCAGCTCCCCAATCACCAAGCTTTAGTGGCAGTGAAGACTCTGGTTCTCCAAAACACCAGAACAGCACCAAGGACAGGAAGGTCATTCCTCTCAAAATGTGCTTTGCTGCTAGAAACCTAAGCATGCCGGATCTGGAGAACAGGTGAGCTGTACCTAAGCAGAACGTTGTACTTAAAGACATGTTGCAATATCATTTTGCAGTAACATGACTGGCTAAATTTCACAGAGGGAAACATCAGTCTGAGATAAGAGAATAGTTTTTGGCATTCCATATTTAAATTACTTCATACATATGTGTACAGTACATATATAGAAAATTTTGTGGCAAACAGACAAGAAGCTTAATGGTGGATACTCCTGGGGAGTGAAATGGGATTGGAAGGAAAGAAGGGACTTATGGTCTTCGTTTTATACCTTTCTGGAATGTTAGTATTACTTTTTTCACTATGAACATTACTCTGTACTTGAAATAATTTTACTAAAGTGATTTTTTTAATGTTTGTTTAGATGTAAATTCCTTATACTGTGAGTGTGTAAAGAGTCAGAGATCTGCATTATAGACCTGACTATCAACTAATAATGTGATCCTGGCCAGTTAGCTTCTCTTGACCTTAGTTTCCTTGTTTGTAAAATGGGAGAGTTGAATTGGATAATTTCTAATGTCCCTCCTAGTTCTATAAACATTTGGTTTCTATGAGTTTGTCTTCATTAACTCCATGAAGTGGTACTGGTAAACCTAGTGTTAGGTTAGGGATTAGGGGGGGCGGTGGGGGATAAACTTGTCCAAAGACATAGGTAAGGATAAACTTTTTATTATGAGCTTTCACTTTTATGGTCTCCTCCAGTCTGAATGCAGGGCCAGGTACCTGATCAGATGGAATGGATCATAGAAGACAGCAAGTAGCTGAGTGACTTTCTTGGGCATTTTAGACCACAGGGACATTAAAGCTCCTGCTCTATAACATGTGGTACGGTATGCCCTAACGGACTGAGCTCTGCAATCAGACAGACCTTGATTTGAATCCCACCTAGGTACCTGCTCAAAGGAAGGGTCTGAGCAAGTCCCTTCACCTCCATAAACTGCCATATCTTCATCTGTTAAAAAACACACCCAAAAACATAATTAACTCATTGTGAAGATTAAATATGAAGCCCTTTGCATAGAGTCAAGCACATAGTAGATCCTTTAAAAATAGTAGCTGTAAAAAGTATTTAAAATGTCTACACACTTTTAAAATTATATTCTGATATATTTGTATTGTTTTTGTTGCTTTTGTATTTCAGAGAGAAAGGGAGAGGGAGAGAGAGATAGAAACATCAATGATGAGAGAGAATCATTGATTGTCTGCCTCCTGCACGCCCCCTACTGGGGATCGACCCCACAACCCAGTCATGAGCCCTTGGATTGAACCCGGGACCCTTTAAATAAGTCCCTTAATTTCTCTGTCCTCCTGTTTGTATTTTTCTGTTTATAAAATGGACTAATACCTGCTCAACTATATTCTTTAGAACTACTTCAATGATAAATAAGATAATATCTATAAGATAATATGTATAAAATCAACTGGACCTTTTGATCCTTAAATTTATCTCCACTTGGTCAAAGGAAGTGTCATGGCAGGTGACACAGCTGCAACATTTAAAGCCATGCAAAAAATCACAATTTATGTAGGAACAGCAAAAATAAGTTTCATCAGGACATCTGTCATCAAGACACTTGTCAAATTGCAGCTTTATTTAGATGACTGTGTTTCTGTTTGAAAATCTTTATCTTCCATAGTCTTTTGTAAAACTCTGAGCAAGAAATAGGCTTAGATGTTCCCTAATCTGGAAAATACTTTGGAATCTGTTTTTAAGCCGTAAGTAGGCATGTGGTTTCTCATCATCCCATCATTCTTCACTTCCCCCTAATATTATATTATGAAAATCTTTCAACACGTAGCAAAGTTGAAAGGATTTTATAGTCAATGCCCATTTTTCCACCACTTAGATTCTACCATTAACATTTTACTCTATGCTTTATCACAGTTTTTATAAAATTCATTTTAGAGTACTTAAGCATGCATATAAATAATGAGTTCAGTGTTTTTTATAGTTTTTTTTTCCACTTTTGGGCCAATGTTTACATACAATAAAATGCATAAATCTTAAGTTTTGACAAATGCATACGATTATATAAGGCAAGCCTATCAAGATACAGAACATTACCATCATCCTGGAAAGTTTTCTTGTGCCCCTTCTCAGTCAGTTCTCTCTCCCACCTCCCAAGGCAACTACTGTTCTGATTTTCTAGCATGAGATTAGTTCTAACTATCCTACAACTTTATATAAGTGTATTCTTTTGTGATAGAATTCTTTTGCTCGTCATAAGGTTTTTGAGACTCGTCCATCTTGTTGCATATATTAATAGTTCTTTCTCTCTGTTGCTGAGTAGTATTGTGTTGTATGAATGTATCACCCTTTATCTTTATTTTTGTATTGATGGATACCTGAGCTATTTCCAGTTTGGAGCTGATAGTAATAAAGTTAT